TGAGTCCCCACTAAGCAGGTGAGTCCCCACTAAGCAGGTGAGTCCACGCTAAGCAGGTGAGTCCACACAAAGCAGGTGAGTCCACACTAAGCAGGTGAGTCCACACTAAGCAGGTGAGTCCCCACAAGGCAGGTGAGTCCCCACAAAGCAGGTGAGTCCCCACTAAGCAGGTGAGTCCACACTAAGCAGGTGAGTCCCCACAAAGCAGGTGAGTCCACACTAAGCAGGTGAGTCCACACTAAGCAGGTGAGTCCACACTAAGCAGGTGAGTCCCGACAAGGCAGGTGAGTCCCCACAAAGCAGGTGAGTCGACACTAAGCAGGTGAGTCCCCACAAGGCAGGTGAGTCCCCACAAAGCAGGTGAGTCGACACTAAGCAGGTGAGTCCACACAAAGCAGGTGAGTCCACACTAAGCACGTGAGTCCCCACAAGGCAGGTGAGTCCCCACAAAGAAACCACAACATAAAGACCTGCTCACCTGGTCTCTCCCGAACTCGCAGGCCAGATCCAGAGGAGTCTTCTTGGCCTTGTTGACCAGACAGGGGTTGGACTGATGCTGCAGCAACATCTCAGACTGACAACAAACAAACAAACAAACAGTCATATTTTATGAATGAAAAGCAACATAAAACATCTAAAATGAGAAAAATGACATCTCTTTCTGTAAATGATACATGTGCGTTCAGTATAGAGCTGGAGTCAGGGCGTGGTTAGCTTAGCTTAGCATAAAGACTGGAGGCAGGGGGGGAAAGGAAACACCTGCAGATCTTGACGGCGTCTTGGCCCTCTGAGGGTTTTGTGTTCTGTCGATGATGTAACGTGATGTAAAGTTTCACCGGCTCTCAGCCAATCAGGCGACGTGTTATCGTGTTGTCACAGCTCTGCAGGATTACGAGGACGACAGGAATCCTGAGACTCTCATAGGACGGACTTAAGGCGGACCGCTGCTTTAACTGGACCGGAGTTTAAATTTATACTCTAAAAGACAACAGAATATGATCTTCTGATCCAGAGTCTCAAACTATCAAAGCAGACTGATGCATGCTGGGACAAAACATTTCTGTTCCACCATGAAAATTTACATGAACATAAAATATATAATATACATATTATATATTTCCATAAATTAGACAACAATCAACTGGAACCATGAAAATACAAATACAGCTTCTGTTTGTTTATTGTAAAAGCAGCGATATCACAATAATAAACCTCAAAAATATAACTTACAAAAGTCCTGTATTCAAAATCTTTCTCGAGTAAAAGTACTATTGGCGAAATGTACTCAAAGTATCAAAAGTAAAAGTACTCTCTAGGCATAAAAAAGGGCAGAGTCGCTGCCCATCTTTCATCAGGCTGAAGACTCACCTCTTCAAGAAGTACTACCCTGAGCCTTCACTCACCACTTATTGTTCATACTAGTTTGTTTCTGTACGTCGGCTCTGGTTTATGCTCTTAGATGCTTGTTTAAAGGAGATGCACTTCTGGTGACTAGTAGTTCTCTTGAACACACTTATTGTAAGTCTCTTTGGATAGAAGCGTCTGTAATGTAATGACTGTAATGTAATGCAATGTAATGTAAATGTATGTTTAACAATCAAAGCAGACGGATGTCGTACTTCCAAAGTTACATAAATATTAACATGTTACCATTT